AATCAGAAACGTTGGTTTTCCCGATTATGATAATATGGCACAAACAGTTTGTTTTTTTTCCTCTTTATCATTCTTATTATTTCATCGCTGTTGATGTGGTTTTTCTCTTTTTTTTTCGTACTAAGATGTGCAACTTTATTGGAACACAAACAATTATAGCGTTAACATTTACCGATTTTTTTTTTTTTGCTAATCTTTTAAATACTCATTACTCATACTATTCAAGCAAAGTTAGAAATCATAGAGGAGGGAAGAAAAAAAAGGGCCAACGACCTTTTTTTCCCCCCCCCCGAAACAAGAAAAGAAAACAAAACACAGGCGTTCACAAAATAATAGTATAAAAAAAAAAAAGTTTCCGTGAATACTGTTCTACCATGCATCCGTGATCAATGAAATTGTGTGGTTTTTTGAATCAAACGTAGACCATTAGTGCTACTATTGACCTTGCATGGTTCATCCTTTTTAAGGTGTGTAGTCAATATTATGCATGTTCTCTTGTCCTCTTTCTGCCATTCTTACAAAGTTCTGTGCCCATCTGCAAAACAAGAAAACAAAAAAAAAAACCTAATAATCAGTAATAGTTCGATGAGATGTTACTTATGTTTAGTCATTGACTGATCTCGCTCTAACCTTTTAAAGACAATTTTGTGATTATTGACCTCTGTTGCATTTATCCTAAAAAACAAAAAAATTAACTAGCCGTTTAAATATCAACGTTTTTTCTCTGGTGTATCCATTGCTGTATTGCATTATTGTTCTCTGTTGCTGTTTTCACATTAGCAAATATGGATTCTGTGATAAAAAAAAATAATCTTAAAAAGTGCTTTGATCTTTAAACCTTTCCCCTTTTCACCCCTCCCCAACTTCTGTAGCAGGACAGGATTTGCCCGTTCCTGAGCTCTTCAGCCTTTTCCTATGCCGAGTACACCTGTATCATTTTGATGTTTCTGTTAGTGTTTCCAAAATCTTTTAAATGTTCTTTATGAAAAAAAAAAATCCAAATCATTTCTTTCTCTTCGTTTTCATATAATTCTCCTGATGCTCTTCATCACTCATTAGTGATCAGAAATGAGGTGTAACTCCCCCCATTCTTTTGCCCGCAAGAGCTGAGTAGGCATTTTTAATGTAAGTTGAAAGGAGTTTTGCCCCAACTCATGGACTGTGCAAGAATGAACTACTGTTGGCTTTGTTTGGAAGTCGGTGGATTGTGGTGCGTTATGTCTGAAGGCTATTGAATGCAACTTACAATGCTTAATAAAAATCTTTATTCTTTTAGTATAAACCAGTGTTATGGTCTTTATTTCAAACACGCTTAGACTATCTCTAGTACAGTGGTTCTCAACCTGTGTAACCTCAGGACCCACGTTTGTCCCTGGTCATTAAGTCGTGATCCAAGTTGCACAGCAATGGAACGCACGGCATTGCGGTACGGCACGTTCCGCTGAGGGCAATAGAACTGTGGGTTTGAGGTGCCATTCAAATGAATGGCAATACAATGCACTTCTCACAGCAAAACGCGTGGTAGGTGCGATTGCGAAGTACAGTGCGTTAATCGCACGGGACTGTACGATTAAAGTACTGTATTAGTGTGAATGGGCCCTCAAAAACCCACAACCACAGACACACAACCACTGGCACAATCTCACACTCCACATACACACCCAAAAAAAAAAATGCTTGTACTTTTTTTTAAGATCCACCCAGTCTCCCTACCTTATGAGAACTGGAGTGGATCCTTAGCCTGGGGTCCGGTGTGGGCTGCTGGACTGTGATGGAGCTCCATCCATATGTGCAGTGCTTGTACAGCTCCTTTGCACACTCTTTAGAGGTGCTGAGAGCCAGTATGTTACATCACAACGGTCCAGGCACCTCTACAGGACATGTGAGTGAGCAATGCACATATGGATGGAGCCCACACTACCTCAAACTGACACTCGGCGCCGGGCAGCGTATTTTGAATGGTTGTTTGGCGCAAGAACTGACAGTGCTGCACTAGGGGGAGGCTGAGGAGCCTCTCGCCTAGAAAAGTGGAAGGCGCATGGGAACCCACTGAACAATGGGTCACGACCCACCAGTTGAGAACCAAGGCTCTAGTATATGTACAAAGTGATGTAGTACACACTAATCCTCATGCTTGCAGGATGTCACAATTCAAACCCTATTTACTACCATCTGTAACCCCAATGGGGTAACTTGCTGTGCCTGTGGCGCCCATGTAATGGGAAATGCAGTTGTCACTGTAACAGGAAGACACAGACTGCAAAAACATTGAGGGAAGTTCTAACCCTTCCACACTCTCCTAAAAATGGGGGTTTGTGTCTTTGTTGTAACGAATGCTCAATTTCCTGTCCTGACAGGAAGTGGAAGGAACTATTCCAAATAGGGACACAATAAAAAATTGTCTTTAATCCTACCCCATTCTATCTAAAACAAAATCAATCTTGGCTGCCATTGGGCTTTAATCAAATCTCTAGTGTTCTTCCATCCTTATAGTATAACTTTAGGTTGGACTCGATGGACTTGTGTCTTTTTTCAACCTGACTATGTAACTCTACCTTTGCAGTAGTAGTATTCCAGAAATACTGAATCGGGACACCTACTAAGACTAGATGCTCGGTAGATGATCCCATACTTCCCTTTGGAAAATTGCTGTGCATGGTTAAGCACTAAAGATCAGGAAGCGTTGCAGGGGTGATTGGTCAGCTATAAATCAATTCTACAAGAGAGTTCAGAGACCACAGATACATTTTTTAATACACTAACAGCTGCTATTATAGCTGTAAACTTTAACCCTTTTAATGCCATGATATGTGACAGGTTCAGTGCTGAGAAATGATAGGTAACCTAAACCTATAATAGATGTTTGTTGCTAGGCTGTATTTTCTAATTAATTGAGCGAACAAATGCAGTTAATGAAAGTCAGAATTATTATCCATCGTCCATTGAGGGACACAGCTCTGAAGAATTCCGAGACTTAGGGTTATGATGCTGCCTTCAGGAGAAATGGACACTAGACAAAAAATTAAACTGCCACTAAGATAACTCTCCCCACCCCACACCTGCCAGTTTTGCTTAGTGTCCTCAGGAATATGTATCGTTTTCTCTTCTGTGTTTTTAGTTTGTTTTGTTTCTTCGCTAAGATTCTACGATCAAGAGCTGCTAGGTGATTCATGCCAGATAATAAATCCTGCAAGTTTCTCTAGCTAGCCAATAAAACAGATTCATGCTGGATAATTTAAACCCTGGAATTTGCTCCAGTCAGGAAGCAGGTTGTTTCTAATCTCAGTACTAATGATTCGTCCTGCGGTGGTCCGGAGCTCCAATGGTCATCTCCATTTAAAGAACACAGGTATTCCCATTCACTGTGCTTGTGATGCTTCCTTCAGTGGTCCTGTTTTCCTATCTGGTGTAGTATTTCAGCCATCATTTCTGAAGTCAGGTCAGTTTTGTCTCGGGATTCCTTTTATGTTGGAACCAGGACCATGGAGGTTGCGAGTACTCTAACCAAGTTTTTTTTTTTACTAATTCTGTGCACTAGCGTTTATATTTTACACTGCGGTTGACTTTTCCTGCCATTTAAAATTTAAAAAAAAAACACAACTGCTTTTTTACCTCGCACTCCTTCAGCATGGTCGCATTGAGAGAACCAGCTGCTTGTCCCCAAACCTCTATTGTGGATAAACACACCACCTCCGTTCTCCCGCCCTCATTTCATACAGCTGTGAGACACCTGTGCCATTAGGGAGAAGCTGACACAGACAGAGGGAAGCTGTATCTCTTCTTGGTTCTGCCATGTTATCCGGCTATTAGCTCTGAGAAGTGCAGATTTTTCTCCTGATACGTCGCACTAGTCGGGGTCGTGAGTAATCTAGGAAAAAAAAAGTGCTATTGAAAGGTGCATTGCCTATTTTATATTTACTCCCAAGCAGAGGGACATCTGCGCTGAAACCTTTCACGATGTACTGTTCTCTGTGTCCTCTACCTGTTAGGTAGAAATTACCTTAGGGACAGATCGTGTTAAGTGTGTTTCTGCTTTGTCTAAACTGATAAATCTTTATCAGTGGTTGCTTCTGAACTGCTTCTTTGTCTATAGATTCTTCTCCCCCTTTCTCACAGAAAGTAATTTTTCTTTGGTTATAGAGGTTTTGTCTATCACAGATAGATAAATATTGTTGCTCATGCCCCTGACAAGGGTAAGAGACACCCCGTATTTGCCTTTCCTTTAGCTTTGGATGAGAAGATATCGGATATTTCACGTTTAGCTGAAGCCCTTCCAGAAGATTCTTTATCTGATGTTGAATCCTTATGGTCCTTGAAGGAGAACTTTATCACCTGTGGTGTCCCAACATCAGAAAGAAGCTGTGGCCTTTTTAATTGATGCTGTGCAGAATCTAGTTTAAGTTCTTTTAAACCTGCATGCATTGATGGGATAAAAAAGGGGAAAAAAGCTAATTTTGACAGATTTATATGCAAAGATTTAGAATCTCTGGATAAATACTTTGTCCCTTTATCCCTTTTTTTGATCATTTTGTTTCTCCTTTTTTTTTTGACTGCTGACCAAGCGGCTGGAGTGTTGATCACCATTTAATTATTATTATTATACAGGATTTATATAGCGCCAATAGTTTGCACAGCGCTTTACAATATAAGGAAGACATTACAGTCACAATACAATTTAAGACAAGATGGTAAGGAGGGCCCTGCCCGTGAGGGCTTACAATCTAAAAGGGAGGGGCAGGTGATACATGAGGAGGTAGCTGCGTGGGGATGATTGTTTGAAAAAAAGTGATTGTTCAGTGGTTAGGGTGAGGTGGGATAGGCTTCCCTGAAGAGATGAGTCTTAAGGGATCGCCTAAAGGCAGTTAGTGTGGGAGATAGACGGACAGGTTGGGGTAGAGAGTTCCATA